ATATATACGGTATGAAAATTGGCAGTCGTGAATCAGGTGATTGAAGAAAATGGAGAATATTGACAATAGTATTTTATTTAGCGCAACCAAAAAAAATATATAAAATGTCAGTTAGCGCAAACAAAAAATATAAGAAAAATGTTAGTTCTAAGTTCGACACTGAATGCGCACTGGAATTCACTAGGAAACCTCACAACGTAAGATAAACATAAATTCGTTCCGTCATACAAAAAGAAAAAAACATATTGACATAGACATAAAATATATAGTCATAATATAAACAAAAAAATCCGACATAAAATCTTTGGTACTGAGTATAACCGGTATAATATCGCATTTACTGGTGCATCAGTCTGGAATACCCCTAGTACATCTACTCCTTATTAAAATTATAAAAAAAAAACAAGAAAAGTTAAAACGGAAAGAAAAATATCGTCAGTACGTAAGTTTTATGTCGTATACGAAAATAAAATATTAATACGAAGGCAAGTGTAGTAAATGCGTGTCTAATGACACCTATGAGGAAACACAATATTTATTTAACAATAACAAATTAACCATCGATTTATTTATTGAGCATTGCCTGTCATATTAAAACAAGAATGCTGAGCTCAACAGATCTTTAATATTTATTTACTAATAATACTTAACTTACGAAAATTGACAATTATTTTAAAACTACAGAGCTCACATATAACTATGTTAGAAAAGTTCCTCAATTACTTGATCTCTGCCTGGTGTATAAAGGTGATAAATAAAGCTGTTACCTTGGTTCCGGAGCGTTAATAATCCCCACGAACTACTATCCAGCAAGACAACACCCAATCAGAAGTCGCTTGGCAAAAGAAACAACCCTGATACATCTGCTATTCTCGTTATTGAACCACTATGGACTCTCGAAATGTATTAACAGCAAAACAGTATATGTTTTTGCTGGGAATTAACTGTGGATAATTGAAATATCTCCAATTTTATTCACAAAAACTTACAACACGTGAACTATTTGTAATCACACAAATAAACTTTATAACGAATCTCTTAAATAATTCGGTAAGGCACATTACTTATTTATTTTTCAAAAATCGGCACTGATGGCCAAGATAAAATCGAAATTTCTATATTTTTTTTGTCACACCACCATCCTCTGTACTTCACCAGCTAGCGTCCCCGTCAAAATTGCTTCCTTTCCGGAAATACGTTCCTAGCCTCCCTCTGTCAAGTCAACGTCGTCTTCTTTTCCGTTATCATTTACAGAAGGTTACGAATATACCATTTACTAGGTATGCAACCAGTTAAACAATTTCCAGAATACAATTATTTTCTATATTAAGTCGGGGACTGAAAATTGCTACAATATCAGCAGAAAAAGCCAAATGTATCTTCTTCATCATCATCATTTTGGCTTTACAACCCTGTGTGGGTCCTAGCCTCCCCAAGAATTCTCTTCCAGTCATCCCTATCCATCGCCTTCCTCCACCAAGCACGTATTTCCATATTTCTCATATCTTGGTCTATGTTATCTAGGAATCTTGTTCTGGGTCTTCCTCTTCTTCTTTGACCAATAGGTCTATCAAGGAGCGTTTTTCTAGCTGGTCGGTTTGCTCCATCCGCATTTCATGGCCTACCCACCTCAGACGTCCTATCTTAATGTGTTTTACGATATCTGGTTACATTTTCAGTATTTATCTTCTTTTTCTTCAGATGCAAATCCACTAATGGATGTTAGCGATCACATTTTCCATTAATTCTCTATTTCTTGCAATATGTATTAGAGATTGTATGTCGTTAATTCCTGTCCATTGCCTTATGTTTCGAAGCCAGGACATTTTCTTGCGTCCCATTCCTCTCTTGCCTTCAATTTTACCCTCGATTATAAGTTGGAGGAACTTGTATTTTTCATTTCGCATGATGTGACCTAGATACGCCGTTTTCCTTTTCTTGATGGTTTCGAAAAGTTGGCGTTCTTGGTTTATTCTTTTAAGGACATCTATATTTGTGATTTTCGCTATCCATGGTATTTTTAGGATACGGCGATAAAGCCACATTTCGAAAGCTTCTAATCTGTTTATATCCCTCGTTTTGAGTGTCCAGCCCTCTACGCCATATAGCAGCACTGACCATACGTAGCACTTAGTAAACCTTAGTCTCAGTTGAAGATCAAACTCTGAACAAGTCAGTGCTTTCTTGAATTTTACGAAAGCTTGTCGAGCTTGCTCAATGCGACATTTTACTTCCCTGTCCGATGCCCAGTCTTCAAAAAGCCACGATCCCAGATATTTAAATTTACTCACTCTTTCAATGGACTTAGTATTCAGTGTTATGGTGGAGTTTTCAAGTGCATCTAAGTTTCTGGAGATGATCATAAATTTGGTCTTTTTGGTATTAATCTCTAATCCCATTCGCTTACTGTATTCTCCGATTATAGTAACAAGTTGTTGAAGATCGACTATGTTGTCACAAATTAGGACACCATCATCAGCATATCGTATGTTGTTGATCAATACTCCATTCACCTTGATTCTCATCTCTGCATCCTCCAAAGACTCTTGAAATATGGCTTCCGAATAAATGTTAAATAAAAGAGGGGAAAGCACACATCCCTGTCGAACGCCTCTTCTTATATGTATGGGTTTGGATATAGAATTGTCTATTTTTGCCAGTACTATTTGATGCCAGTACAAGTTTTCAATGCATCTTATGTCTTTTTGGTCTATATCAACTTTCTTGAGAATCTGCATTAACTTGTGGTGTTGGACACGATCAAACGCTTTTTGGTAATCTAAAAAGCATAGGAACACATCCTTACTCTGATCGTAACAATTTTGGACCAGCACCTGTGTTGCTACTATTGCTTCTCGTGTTCCTAAACCTTGCCTAAACTCGAACTGGGAATCACTGATGTCCCATTCACATCTTTTGTATAATCTTTGATGTAATATTTTTAAGAATATCTTTAAAGTGTGACTCATCAGGCTAATGAGTCTGTGATCCTCACATCTTTTTGCATTGACTTTCTTGGGCAGGGAATAAAGGTAGAGCGTAACCACTGTTGAGGATAGCAGCAAGTTTCATAAATTAAATTAAATATTTTGTGTAGTGCTGAAATTCCCCTTTCATCTAGTAATTTGAGTATTTCTGACGGGATTTCATCTGGTCCAGGTGCCTTATTGTTTTATGAATTTAATATAGCCTTTTCTATCTCCTCTTTGGTGATTGAAGGGCCAGTCAGCTGGTCGCCTGTATAAACTTCACTCATGGGTCTTTCGTCATGGAAGAGCTCCTGGATATAATTTTCCCATATATCAATTTTCTCCTTTTCACCCAGCACTGTCTGGTTATCCTGATTAACTATAGTAGTTGGTCTTCGTTTTCTGTATATTCCAGCAGTCTCCTTAAGCTTTTTATGTAAATTACGGTCGTCGTGCTGTCGTTGTAAATGCTCTAGATCGATACATTGTTGCTTAAGCCATTCATTGTTTGCTATTCTTATTTTTGCTTTTATTTGCCTGTTAATATTTTCATACATATTGCTGCCATCTTGGTCATTCTTGTGTCTCCGTCGTTCTTCCATTAGTAATGGTATTTCTTCTGTCATCCATTTTTGCCTCTTGTTATTTCGTTTGTACCCTAAGTTGTTTTTCATGATGTCTGTTACAGCACTTGTAATCGTACTCCATGCTGGTGTTAGATCTTCGGTAATGTTTGTCGTCAATATTTGAATTTGTGCGTTTATTTCATTGCTTATTTCTGCTTGTATCATTGGGTCTTTCAGTTTATCCAGTGCTATCTGTTGTTGAGTTTCAGGCTTGTTCTTGCATGAAAGAGCGATCTTTATGACGGCCACTAATAGTACGTGGTCAGAAGGGACATCTGCTCCAGGGTATGTGCAAGCTCTTTTGACAGTTGTGCTGAATCTACCGTTGATAAGAATGAAGTCTATCTGATTTCTTATTGTGTTCTGAGCTCTATGGGCTGGAGATTTCCAAGTATAAAGGCGACGGGGGTGGAGTTGGAACCATGTGTTGGTAACTCTCATGTTTTCTTCTTGACAAAATTGTATAAGTCGGTCGCCCCTTTCGTTTCTTGTTCCAAGACCATAGGATCCAACTACGTCTTCAAAGCTGCCCTTCCCTATTTTGGAATTAAAATCTCCCATAATTATGTTGACATCATGTTTCTTTGTCAATTTAAGTAGTTCTTTGATTTCACTATAAAAGTTTTCCACTACTTCATCTGATGCGTCTGTATCACAACATCTAAATACCCACTACGATGTAAAATCGAAATTGATGGGAAAATAATAAAGCAGGAAGCAAGGTTTCGATATCTGGGAATAGATATAACTCGTTACGGAGGTGTTGAAGAAATACGACAACAAAGCTTAAAAGCAAGTAAAGCGGCGGGATCTATTAATGACACAATCTGGAAGAACAAACACCTAAGACAAGACACAAAAACAGATGGAAGACAAAACGGAAACAGGAGTGGAACAAAAACATTAGTAGAATGACAGAGGATAAGATAGTACGAATAGCACAAGATAAGTCACCAAATGGACGAAGAAGTATTGGCAGACCAACAAAAAGTTGGTGCGATAATTTAAACAATTTAGGAGGCTAAAATTGAAGAAGAAACAGGCTTTAAAGCCTACATACAAGAAGAAAGAAGAAGAAAAAAACTATTATTCATGGCAGTTAAAAAGAGCGTTGGACTTATACCAGACTCTAGAGAAATGCAATTTGCTATAAATTTCATTGAAGGTGTACAGTGATTAAAGATGGAATTTATATTCCCTCCAATAGTCTATGTTTGTATTGTTCTAATAATATCCTATCGCCCTTCTGTATCAAATTCTTTTGTAATATCTACGAATACTGTACGAGTTTCCTATTGCTTTATAAAATATTCAAGAATTTCAAATTCTAAATCAGTTATCAGTGATAGTTTGATTTTGTCGAAAACTTGACAATGTAACAAAAAAAAAACCAAAATATACTTACTTCTTTAGTGCATTTTATTGTAATATGACAATGAGGTTGGATGGCAGTGTCTGAATCACTTTCTTCTTCCGAGCTATCATTTCTGGACACCCTTAAAAAGAAAAATTGTTTTAAGATACTTTTTTCCACGCCTTTCATTTAAAGTATCAGTTATTTCACCCAATGTATATTCCAACAATAGCTCTATATAGTTTGAAGTGAAAACTAGTTAATCGTTAAAAATCTGTCAATAACCTTAACTTTTTCATAAAGATGAAAAAGAAAATTGTATCTTTACTAAAAGTACCCAGCTCACAAAACTTGGGGTGCCGATCGTAAAACACTACTCATATCCTACAGATTCTTAATTCGTTCCAAAATTGATTACGGATGTGTTGCATATGCATCTGCCAGCACAACAACCTTAAAACCTTTGGATACGTTACATAACACCTCTCTAAGGATTATACTTATAGCGTACAAAACAACTCCGATAAAAATTATACAAGCTGAAATAGGTGAACCCACGCTAGAGCTTCGTAGGCAGCTATTAACACTTAATTACACTTCTAGCATAACTCTAAATAAAAGAATTTCAATAAATAACATTTTAGACATACCCATGACTAACGAGTCTTAAGTTCAATCTGCTATATTCCCGCTGAATTTATCATGGAATGAGCCTATTTAACTAGAAGCAATTTCCACCCTTATATCCATACAAAAATATATCTTCATCTTATATATATCATATATATATATATAATATATATATATATATATATATATATATATATATATATATATATATATATATATATATATATATATATATATATATATATATATATATATATATATATATATATATATATATATATATATATATATATGTTATAAATGTTAGTTTTGATATTTCCGCGGGAGCTGTATGTTATATCAATGGTGTTCCGGGTTTGACTCCGCGTTAAATGTTGTTGGTTTTGATAAAACCCATTTTAGGGGAAGCCCGCTGGGTTTACAAGCCAGTAGATTCAGAGAGTAGTGAGGAAATGAAAAACTCACCGTGAAACAAAAACTGTCTTGGCCCTCCAGGATGGGGGTTGAGGCATTAGACTGGTTCTCTAATACTCGGAAAAATCTAAATTTACCAAACAACCTAACAGAAGCCTCGGAACATTTGACGGATCAAATAGACGAAGGACACGGCAAAGAAAATGGAATATGAGTTTCGCTACGTGGAATGTACAGGGTATTAGACTGAAAACGGATATCATTGCATCAGAAATCCAAAAAGTAAACATCGATGTAGTAGCGCTAACAGAGACCAAGAAAAAAGGACATGGTGCTGGAGTTATCGGAGAATATATTAAAATGTTTACTGGAGTTCCAAAGGAAAGAAGAGCAGCTAGAGGGTATCCATATTAATAAAAAAAAACTGGAAAAGCAAAATTACAAATTATATATATATATATATATATATATATATATATATATATATATATATATATATATATAAAGAACACTCTTTGTGGCTTCATCTAGTGGGAAGTTCGAAAAATTAGATGAAGCCACAAAGAGTGTTCTTTCGAAAGGTTTTAATTTCGCAGTAGCTCCTGCACGCATACCGATTGAAAATATTATATGCGAAGTGGAAAGTTCAATAACCAATATACCATCCGACACGGCCGAGACTATACGCCAAGACGTGTCACGCATATTACGAACAGCTAAACCGCCAAAACGAAACTTAACACACGAGGAAAAAGGGGCATTAAATTCACTTCGCAAAAATAAAGAAATCATTGTACTTCCAGCTGATAAAGGCAAGGCAAAGAATGCGTTAAAAATACAAAGCACGTGTTTTGAACAATAAGCTAATAAGAGGTTATGAGCTTAAGAGGTTAAGAGGTTATATTAATTGAGGTTATGTTGTTTTTTTAACAACAGAACTAACGAAAACAGATGAATCCGCTCTATCCATTTTTGAAAGAAAGGTGCTACGCAAGATATTTGGAGCAGTCTGTGAGAACGGAATATGGAGGCGTAGATATAACTTCGAACTGCAGAATATCTACAAGCATACGTTTGGTGGTAAAGATATTACCACTATAATTAAGCGAAACCGCCTGCAGTGGGCAGGACATGTAGCCCGGGCCCCTGAATTGAACATGATAAAAAAGATTCTAACAGCGCAACCTGTGGGAATGAGATGACGGGGTAGACCAAAGCTGAGGTGGATGGATGGGGTAACACAAGATGCGGAGAAGATCGGAGTCGGCAACTGGAAAATTCAAGCAAGGGACAGAACAGAATGGCGTAGAAAGATGATGTTGTTTTTTTGCCAAAACAGTTGACAGAATAGGTACAGCAGGTGTGCCAACTTTGAAGAAAACTATGAAAACTGAATTTCGATCTCTGTTCACATTAATTTGCACAATACTGTAGGTAACGAACCAACAGACAAAAATGGCAAAGAAGCTATAAACGACAACAGTATCCAATCTGTAAGTATGTATCTAAAACTCTACTTCAAAAAACACCTGTTCGAGAAATGGAATAATAAATGGAAATCCACGCCATCAAAGCTTCAGAGGATAAAAAATAAGATTGGACCATGGCAATCACCCGAGGCATCCAGACGACAACAAATAATTATTTCCCGTTTACGACTTGGATATACCCAGTTTTCTCATGAACATTTGTGTAAGAAAGAAGAACGCCCAATTTGTGATGAGTGCGGTTCATTACCTATAGTAAAAAATGTAAAGACATTTAAATTCAAAAATAGTATAGATAACCTACTTTGTTTGTTTTTAAGACTTTAATTTACTAAGCAAAGTGTAATTAACTGTTACCGTTTCGCTAATAACGTTAGCGGGTCAAGCGGATTTTTTATAAACAAAAAAAAATTGTATCTTTCCTACAATGACTGTCAAAATACTCCCAAGCTGATCTAATCGACTATATCTAAATTGCTTGGACCATTTTAATCGTCGCTATAGCAACACAATTTTTGATTTGTCAATATTCGACGTTTTTATTCCAATTTATGACACTTGCTCTATGTACTACGAGAGATGTCCGTAATTTTAATAACCAAGCACAATGAGAACATTTACAATATTTATAAAGCACCCAGTGAACCAAAGAAACAACCGTTCAAATCGAAATTTAGGGAAATTACCGAGGACAAGCGGTTACAAGTACAATCGCATATCCAGCAAAAGGAACATGCCACGATGGGGGTACCCGAAGTAGAACCGCCCGATCCTCATAATTATCTTAAAAACGAACAGGTAATTGGAAATACATATTAATTATATAAACACATGAAGAATAAAAATAAAAAAGGTTAGGTCAAAATAATGTTAACATATTTTCCATTGTGTGTTTGTAATAATTTTCAAATGCATTCTATAGTAAAAACTATGATAGTCGTAGTCACTAATAAACATTTATAGACAGTCGCATTTCCGATTAAGTTCAACCACAATTGTATCCCTTATGCCTTTAAAAGTACTGAAAGATGAAATCAAGGAGAGTAAAATATGAAAACTGTGAGGTTTCTTGGGGAAATTTTCGGAAAATTGATTTTATTTTTTAAAGAAAATCTTCTTTTGTAAAAAAACTTCTTACTTATGCCATTTTACGAATATGTAGAGGAGTAATGATTTTATTTTTTTAAATTTTGGCATAAGGACTACTGGTTCCCTAAGGGTGTTACTATGACCTAAACATGTAATTTTAATAGTTCATCATCATCATTCTGGCTTTACAATCCTGCGTGGGTCCTAGCCTCCTCAAGAAAAAATCCAGCCTTCTCTCTAGTCGTCATCGAAGATCGCCATCTTCATCGATGTTACCAAGGAACCTTGTTCTGGGCCTTCCTCTTCTTCTCTGACCAATTGGTCTAACCAGGAGCGTTGTTCTAGCTAAGTCATTTTGTTCCATCCGCATTTCATGCCCTATCCACCTCAGACGTCCTATATTAATATGTTTTACGATATCAGGTTTCTGGTATATTCTATAAAGTTTGAAGTTGTATAGTCTTCTCCACACTCCATTGTCATTCACATTCATCCTAACATATTTTCATTATTTTTTGTTAAGGTCTCTGAACCTAATGTTAGGACTGGGCGTATTATGGTTTTGTAGAGTTTTGTTTTTGTATTTTTCGATATAATTGTAGATTTAAGTAGGAGATTGTGCCCAAAATACCATCTTTTGGCAGTGCAAATTCTGCGGTTTATCTCTGCGGTAGTATTATTTTCAGTGTTAAGGAGCGCTCCCAAGTATAAAAATTCGTTCGCAGTATTTGTGGTTGCGTGCTTATTTTCATGTACTTCGTTTTGTTGGTGTTTATTATTAAACTCATTTTTGTAGCTGATTCTTTTAATGCTACATACAGCGTTTTCTATTCTCCTAACAATATTGATATCATCAGCATAGGTCAAGATTTGCACTGATTTATTATATATTGAACCACTGGTTGTGATTTGTGACATACGTATTACTTTTTCCAGAGCCAGATTCAACAGTATACAGGAGAGAGGGTCTCCCTGGCGCAGCCCGTTATTTGTTTTAAAAGGTTCAGACAGTTCCCCCTGAATTCGTACTCTACATTCAACTTTTTCAATAGTTTGTTTTGTTAAATTTACCCACTGATTTGGTGTTTTTAGCTGTTTCATTGCTTTGAACATTTCTCTTCTATTCACAGAGTCTTAGCCTGCTTTGTAGTATATAAATATGTGATGAGTATCCATGTCATATTCCTGTTTTTTCCAAAATTTATTTCAGGGTTGCAATCTGATGAATTGTCGATTTATCACCTCTGATACCAGCCTGGTATTTTCCTACTATCCGTTTTGCATATGGTGCCTTACGATGACATATTTTATACGCTGCATTTAGAAGCGTAATTCCTCTGTGGTGAGAGCATTCAAAGATATCTCCTTTTTTGTGTATGATGCACAGTATTCCAATATTCCAATCATTGGGGAGGGATTTCTGTGTCCATATTTTTTTTTGTAAGCTGCTGTAATACCATTATGGAATCATGGTCAGCTTCTTTATATAGTTCAACTGAGAAATTATCTATTTCGGGTGATTTGTTTCTGGATAGTTTTTTAACTGCATCTTCAACTTGAATCGTTGGTGGTTCCCCTTTCCTCTCGCCTGCTCCCCTTAGCTAATCTCTTTCGTCTTACAGGTTTTCTTCTTCTTTGTTCATATTAAGTGCCTGGTACAAGTATTCCATCCATCTATTCAATACATCCTTCCTTGTTGTTAATAAGCCGCCATTTCGTCTGCATTGTTTTGTGGTTGCCTTGAAAGCTTTTCTGTTGATGTTAACTTTCTTATAGAATGCTCTGAGCTTTTTTTCCGTTGAGGTGTTCTATATATTTAAGTTCCGTATTTAGGTGGTCTCGTTTTTTTCTTTCGTGTATCCTCTTCTCTTCTCTTTGTCTGGTAATTCTCTACAGTTGTTCTAATTCATCGGGTAGAGATGAGACCTTTTAGAGACCTCTTTATTTCTGAGTTACTTATTTAAGATTAAAGAACTGAGTTAATATTCTTCACTTCCGTTTTCAGTTGATTTCGTAGTACTCCTGAAGTCATGAGGGTTCATCCAGGTTCATTAACTTTGCAACAAATTGTTTCCTTAAAACAAAGCCCTTTTGAAACCCAATCGAATTCAAAGCTTTCCAGGAACTTGCTCTGGAAATATCGAATAAATTGCTTTCATCAATACAAACATACTATGGACCCCTTATAGGAATCTACTTGCTGTGATGTTGAAGTAGCTATACACGATAATCACAAGAATATTAAAAGTATTTAACTTCATTCTTAGTATATTTTCTCAGATTATTTTAGTCAAATGATACATTTCCTACTGATCAATTATATCGTAGTTATAGATATAGACTTATAGATAGATAAGAGTTATTCTTGGCATTCTAATGGCGTATAATTTTTTTTGTAAGAGAGGTAGCGCTATTTGTACTGAAGAATTTTTACAAATTATATGTACTACTATGGACTACCTAAGCTCTGACGTCACAATGGACGAGAATTTTAAAGACCTTTCCAAACATGTCTAATTTGTGTTTATTTGTCCCATAAGAAGTTGGAAATATTAGTTTTTTAAATTGTTTTACAAACTGTGTAAGTAACCAAAATTAGTAACAAGTACCTTCTATGTACGCCATCACCTTTTTGAATTCGACACTTTTGATTACCAAATATCTGAAAAACACTTATTTAATTGGGTTAACTAGCCGATTCCCTTTAAACAATTCTAAATCACAAAGTGTTAATTTTACTTTAAGAAATAATACTGGTTCTGGTAAGGTTGCTCTACTACAATGTGCAACCGAGGCGAAGTTTCTGGAGATACATTTGGATACAGGATTAACCTGGGAAGAACATATAGTTAATCTATTGGAAAAGCTTTCACGACAACTTTTTCTTTTCAGGAAGTGACTTCCTTGGAAACTATTTTAAGAGCTTATCATAGTAATTTCCATTCGTACCTGACATATTATGTTATTCTCTCCTGGGATCACTACTTTCATATTGATAAAGTGTTTGGACAACAAAGAAAGTGTGTTCGTATTTAGTATCTCTGGGCTCTGTTACAGAGCAGACTGTAGAAACTCCTTAACAGCTTTTAAAATTTTAACTTTACGTTGTGTATACATTATATAGTGTTTGTTGCACATTAAACAAAATCTTTGCAATACAATGCGCATGTAGATTTTCGCAATTATTCCACCAGATACAACAATAATCTTATACCAGAATTTGGCCGACTTGAAAAATCCAGAAATGGTTTAAGGTATTTCGCCATAAAATTCTACAACAGTGCCAGCTAGAATAAAAGCTCTTAATTTTCATCAGTTTAAGAGTTACCTCGTGGTGAATGCCTGTTTTACATATGAGGAGTATTTTACTTCAAATTTTAATTTGTTGTAATTGTCAACTATATGAGTTAAAACACTGATTCAATATTGTATATTTTTATATTTATGCGTATATTGACTATATTGACATATTTTTTATCTTTGACTTTAAAAAATACTTTTGTATTAATTTCTTACCAATAAACCATCTGTCTATCTAATAACAAAAACAGTCAAAAATCAATGAAATCGGCTATCCTACTACCTCTTTAAAACTAATAAAACAATATCCCTTTTGATGGATAGAATTTCATGAGTTTTAGAGAAAGTCGCAGAACAACAAGTATGTAAAACATCTCTGGAATACATTAATAATAAAAACGAGAAATATTAAATTAATCACCAAATGATGGCGGATGTGAATTTAGATCAAGGTTCTAGGATGCTTACAAACACCACTATGATAGTTAATTACACCTAAATAATAGCAAGGAATTAAAAATCATTTTTAATAGATCTAAAAATACATTGTTGATATAAAGTATTATTATAGTCACGGAAGGAAAATAAAAAAACAACAGATCCCTCTATTAAAATTATCATATTTGTGAGTTTTATTTCTATCTATTTAGTTTTTTACTAATATTTTTTAAAATGATAACTTTTTATAAGGTTTGATTTTTGTACCAAAGTAAATACTAGAAAAAAAAACCAATGAATTTAATGGTGATACAAGTTTGAAGCAGTAGACAAATTCACGTATTTGTCTTCATTGTAACAGAAAAATAATTTTAACAAACCAAATACTATTGCTAAATAAACAAATAAAAAGAAACTAAAGACGGGGAAAAAAAGTAACAATGAATAAAATCTTTTTTATTCAACTTGTTTTCTACCAACTCCTCTTTCTTGCCTTGTATCTTGACTTTTTGGAAGCATAGGTTCCTTATCGCGGGCTACGGACAGAATACATTGATGGATGCAATGGATTGCGCCGATGTGTGAAGAAATAAAAACAAAAGAAAGCAATGTAACGGCAGATCGCACGACCACATATTACGGGGAGTAGTAAACGCAGTCCCATTCGTATTTCTTAATAGTATATACTAAAATAATATAAATTAAATTAAAATAAAATAAAAAAAATAAAACACAATAAAATTCAATAGAATCGAACCGAATGAAAATACATTAAATTAAATTAAAAACCATCGATCCGCCATCCATGATAAGAAAGCTATGCTTCCCATCCTCGGTCACTGCTCCCGGAGTGTTACATCCCGTTTTTATTATTTGCAACATCTCTTTCTTTCTTGTCGTTTCCCATTACTGAGAATCGTTAATTTCTTCCAAGATTCCTACCAATTTTTCTCCATTGGTCTCTATCTTCAACTGCTCTGAGAGCTTCGCAGAATAAGTTTCCAGCGGAATTCTTAATTTGGTCGGACTATCTAGTTGGTGATGGTCCTCTTGATCTTCTTCCAGAAACGTTTTCAGAAACAATTAATCTCTCCAAACCATGGTCACCTCTGCGAACCACGCGACCGAAAAATTGAAGAATATGTTGCACACATATACAGCCTTTTTTTTAATCTCGAATTGGTTTAGCATGGAAACGTTTGGCCTATTAGCTGTCCAAGGTATGCGCAGCCTTCTTCTTCAGCACCACATCTCAAAGGATCAATTTTTTGACGGTGGCGTCTGCGAAGAGTCCAAGTATGTGCCCTGTATAGAAATATTGAGAATACAAGGGCATTCACCTTGATATTTTGAGATAGATCTGTCTTTCCAAATTTTAGTTAGGCGACTCATCGCATTTTTTGCTATACTGTTTCCGTTTCCGAACTTCTGCTTCACAGTTATCATCGTTAGTTATACTAGACTCAAGATAGACAAAATTGTCCACTATCTGGTATTCCTGTAACATTCTAGTCAGTTGAATAATGTGGAATCTGTCGACCATCACTATTTTTGTATTAGCTTTATTGATTTTCAAACCAACTTTATTTCTTTCGTACTCAACTCTTCGCATGAGATTAAACATTTCTTGCTCATTTGCTGCTATAAGTGTACTGTCAATAGCAAATCCTTAATTAGAGATTTTCCTACCAGCCACTGTTACTCCACCGGCCCATCCATCTAAGCCATGCTCATGACATGTTCATCATAAATGTTGAATAGCTCAGGTGACAACACACATCCTTATCTAACACCTCTCTCGGTCTTGAATTGGTTTGAGAACTTCTGATCTAGTCGTGTCACCAGGTGTATTGGTGTGCCCATTTCTATTAAAATGGACCACAGATTAATCCAGATTACACAATCAAATGCCTTTTGGTAGTCAATGAATCATAGGTGACATCATAGGTACTTAAAATTCCCTAGACTTTTCAATGAGTTGTCTCAGGTTCAGGATTTGTTCCCGTGTACCTTTATCCTTTAAAACCCGGCTTGTTCCTGAGGTATTTGGTAATGTAGATATGTGTTTAATTTGTTTTTAGTGATATGCATGAAGATTTTACTAGCATGTGTTATTAGTGACAGTGTGGGGTAGTTTTTACATCTGGTAGTAGTGCCTTTTTTGTGTAGCGGCATATAAATTGAGGTACACCAGTCAGATGGGCATTTTCCTAAATTCCAAACAGCGACAGAGATAGAATAGATGATATGTAATCCTTTGTTACCTAGTAATTGTAGTATTTCATCTGGTATTGAATCAATGCCTGGGAATTTATTTCTCTTTAGCGATTTAATTGCATCTTTGACTTCAGCGAGTAAGACAATAGGTATTCTAAGGTAGTCAGAGAACCACTGATTTTATGCTAGTACCTCTGCTGGCAGCACTCCTTCAATATTTTCATTAGATGACACTACTTTGGCCATAAAGTCTCCTAAAATTATAATAATTATGATTATAACCTCTTAATGTCTTCTTGTGTATCTATTGTAGGAGCGTATATCTGGACAAGGTGTAGAGTATTGGTGAATATTCCCATTTTAATTAATATTATCATGTCATTAACAGTATTATATCCAATTACCAAGTTGCTCAATTTATAGGGTACAATTTTGCGACTACATTTGTACTTGTGTTATCAGCCTCTGAAATCTAGACGACGTTGCCAGCAGTTGTTTTAAAACGCCCTTTACCTCTCCAGTGAGTTTCTGAGAGTCCCAGTACCGAAAGATTGTGGTCTGCCATTTCTTTTTTAATTACGTGTAACATTCCAGGATTTTGGAGTAGTCCCTGGATGTTCCATGTACCAATTCCCTGATATTTTCTTAAATTGAGTGAAAATTTAGATTCTGGTCCCTCTCACCTTGGTAGCCACTAGCATATTTCACACCATCCGACTCGGAACCGAGATGGTACCGAGCGGGAGTCGGGTTGCTACACATACCATCTTCACTTACTGAAATTTTCATCGTTATGAAAAAAAATCTCGGGAAAATAGTGCAGTGGATTTCCATTCTTTTCTGCACCGCTGTATATATGCCGTTTCTGTGGCTATTATTCTCGCCGCATGATCAGTTTTGGAACAGCCAACTACCACTGTCCAGCCTATCGTCATGTCTGGCTACCCTCACTTTGTAAAGGTTATAAAGTTGCAACATACGATACTGGTTTTCTCGAAGAATGTGATTGGGATAGGAAATTTTTCGACATTTTATGGTCAAGAGTTCCCGAATAGTATTATTTCCCTATAGGACTTCATCACTTCCACATCTCTGGAAAATTCTGGGGGAGTCTAGACAACGGACAGGGTCGACAGACGCTATGAAACATTATAAATACACATACCCGTTTAAATTTATGCCACAAACTTGGTCTTCCGAAGACGTTTTTACAGTTTGTTAGAATATAAATTAAAAGGTAATGGTAAGAGATTCCATCCCTATGTATCCGCGTTCTGTTTGGTATTCCCTAATAACTATCAACTTTTACATTTACCTTCTGTCTCCAATATAAGTTTTTAAATGATACATAAAATTATGTAGTAAATGATATTAGGGACAAGTTTTAAATTTTTACAAAACAAATTTTAGGAAAACCTTGTTATCTTGGTAAAGAAGTTATTAAAAGAGAAAAAGTTAAATTAAAAATGGATGTACCAAAGCTATCTGAATGCTTAAAAGCGTACAAACCTGCAAAGCCTTCTAAAAACTTTATAGTTGAAAATGTCAAAACTGTCCATCAAATGAAACCTAAGGAACCAATACCCACAGTAGTGATAGATCGGCAAGGTAATTAAAATGTACACAATTTTTTATTTATTAATATTTTTTTTAATTTTGACTGTGAATATATTTACTTCTAACTGTTATATATACGGTTAGTTTTAAGTGCGAATTTATTCTATGCAGAGTGGCCCAAAAGTCTGGAAACGGCCAATTATCTCGTAAATTGTTAGTCATATCGACCAAATTTGAAGTACACCTATTTTGGGATACGGAGATTCCATATTTGATATTTGCGATGTTGCCAGATTTGCCGTTTCTCTTATAATATTAGTAACTTTGATTTTTCAAACTCATCACCCTGTATATTTAGTCATTATTGGAATCTTCTATTCAATACGAGTTCAACCATATGTAACACTTATGATTTTATGTAGTCTGGAAGGTCTTTAATACATAAAACAGTTCAAAATATGTAGATTTTAATAAATTTAAATATTTAAGTGTAGAATGCTGTGATTTTGACATTTGTTCACCATTTACATTATTAACTAAAACTGACAGTAGTTGTGTTTCGAAAAGTTCTACAAAATAAATTGCGTCTCTAAAATGGCTCTTAATGAAAAAGAACGAATTACTATTCTAATGATGAGAGGGTACGGTGACAGAAAAAGATCTTATTCTGAAGTAGCCAACTTGTTCAATGACACTTTCCCAAACCGTTCTCCTATTCATAAGGCGACGATACAAAAAACTGTAAAGCGATTTGAGGAATCTGGAGAAGTAAAAGATAGATACTGATCAGGCAGACCGAAAAGAGTTATGAATGACAACAAAACTTTAGATATAAGGCAAAGTTTTGCAGAAGATCCACATACATCCTCACGTAAGTGAGAGCGCCCACCAAAGTGGAGTGGCACGTGACACGTAGCAAGTAGCACGCGTCTAGCATGTTACTTAAAATGTAACCAATGAAAACGAATGATTCTCCGCACACCAAAATGACAGTGACGTCATTCGATCTAATCATTCGTTTGCATTGGTTACATTTTATGTAACATGCTAGACGCTTGCTACTTTCTACGTGCCACGTGCCACGCCACTTTGGTGGGCGCTCTCCCTAAGTGAGAGCGCCCACCAAAGTGGCGTGGCAGTGGCAAGTAGCAAGTAGCACGCGTCTAGCATAATGTAACCAATGAAAACGAATGATTCAGTATACACCAAAATGACAGTAACGTCATTCATTCTAATCATTCGTTAGGATTGGTTACATTATGCTAGACGCGTGCTACTTGCTACTTGCCACTGCCACGCCACTTTGATGGGCGCTCTCACTTAGGGAGAGCGCCCACCAAAGTGGCGTGGCAGTGGCAAGTAGCAAGTAGCACGCGTCTAGCATAATGTAACCAATCCTAACGAATGATTAGAATGAATGACGTTACTGTCATTTTGGTGTAAACTGAATCATTCGTTTTCATTGGTTACATTATGCTAGACGCGTGCTACTTGCTACTTGCCACTGCCACGCCACTTTGGTGGGCGCTCTCCCTTAGGTTGCACAAGTATATGATGTAGGTCGTTCTTCAGTCTAAGGGAGAGCGCCAACCAAACTGGCGTGGCAAGTAGCACGTAGCAAGTAGCACGCGTCTAGCATGTTTCTTAAAATGTAACCAATGAAAACGAATGATTAGAATGAATGACGTCACTGTCATTTTGGTGTGCACTGAATCATTCGTTTTCATTGGTTACATTTTAAGAAACATGCTAGACGCGTGCTACTTGCCACTTGCCACGTGCCACGCCACTTTGGTGGGCGCTCTCACTTAGTGAGAGCGCCCACCAAACTGGCGTGGCAATGACAAGTAGCGAGTAGCACGCATCTAGCATGTTAGTTTTAAATGTAACCAATGCAAACAAATTATTAGAATGAATGACGTCACTATCATTTTGGTGAGCGCGGAATCATTCGTTTTCATTGGTTACATTTTAAGTAACATGCTAGACGCGTGCTACTTGCTACTTGCCACTACCACGCCAGTTTGGTGGGCGCTCTCTTTACGTGTATCACGTAAGAATAAATTTAAACCATACAAGATTAACTTATTGCAAGAATTAAGTGAAGATGACTTCGACCGTAGATTAGAGTTTACTGAGGTAATGATGAAAAAAGTTGAAAATGATGAAAATTTCGTTAACAGAATATGTTTTTCTGATCAAGCAACCTTTACACACTGGATGCGTGAAAACCATACTCAAAAACCACAAAAATTAAATGTATGGTCAGGTATAGTGGGTACTCAGTTAATTGGACCATTTTTCATCGAAGGAAATTTAACGTCAGATAGTTACGAAATGAAATTGTACCTACACTGAGAAACTTGTTTGGGGCCAATTTTAATCAGATATGGTTTCAGCAAGATGGAGTAAATGTTCGGCGTTATTTAGATGAGGTATTTCCCGGACGATGGATTGGTAGACGAGGTAGAATTGAATGGCCTCCACGTTCACCTGATTTTAATCCTAAAGATTATTTTTATTGGGGATACTTGAAAAATTCAGTTTACAAAACTAAACCAGCAAGTCTTGCAGAGCTAAGGCAACGAATTATCGATGAATCTCAAATAATTTCTAGACAATCATAGAGGTATAATCAATTGTTAAGTTTTAATGTAATTAAAAATAGTTAGTATTAAAAAATTTATTAGGCAATTAGGCGTTGCCAAACTTCCGTTTTATGTATTTAAGACCTTCCAGACTACATAAAATCATAAGTGTTACATATGGTTGAACTCGTATTGAATAGGAGATTCCAATAATGACCAAATATACAGGGTGATGAATTTGAAAAACCAAAGTTACTAATAATATAAGAGAAACGGAAAATCTGGCAACATTGTAAATATCAAATATGGAATCTCCGTATCTCAAAATAGGTGTACCTCAAATTTGGTACAATTATGACTAGCAATTTACGAGATAATTGGCCGTTTCCAGATTTTTGGGCCACTCTGTAGATTATTAATTATTATTCTGTACCATTATGGCGCAGAATTTCCAAAAAGGTTATTTAGAAAAAATGTAGAATATGAAATTTTCGGCTTGCATATGTCGAATTCTACAGGGTGATTAATAACTATTTTCTTATATTTAGATTCTTCTCATAATCTATGTTTTTACAATATGGAATTTGATACTACATACTATACAGAGTATTTGACGAGTTATAATTATTTATTAACTGTGCTAGACGAAAAATTAGAACGTGTTCTATAAACAATTTTGACGCAATTTATCGTCAAAATTCATGTTGCCAATATTAGTAAATTTATGGTTTAGAATAAAACCATATCGTGTATGTGTAAATGTTATTTATTGGATGTAATAATTTGTAATTTATATTTGAATTATATTTGGTCGCTCAGCAAACTACTTTGGTCTGCCTTGCAACCACTCGAGCGTGGAGAACCGACAAACGTGTCTCCGACTATATAAAAACTCCTAGAGTTAATATTGTATTTCCAGTTAGGGGCTGGTTCAGAATCTCCAAAATTGACTTTATTAGTTATAAGTGAAATAAAATAAATAAACAGTACTATAAGTGTATTGAAAACTAACAAATAACAAGAATGTATGTTAAAGTTTTACTCTCTCGTAATTTTTATATACTACCTTCCTTTTGTCTTTAAATCATTAAACATCTTACAAACAAAAAAAGGGTTACAATACAAATGAATATGAATTCATATTTATCAGAGAAATGTGCACATACTTATTCGGCCTTCTAAATTTTAACATTAACTTATATTAAGCACACGAGATATGGTTTCATTCGCGAATAGAGTGTGTGTGTACACAAATTTCCGTTTTAAATTGTGTCTCTGGCCATGGAGGACTTCAATAATAGGGAACATTAACTTACAATAAATCTGCACAGTACTTGAGACCCCTCAGAAGATGCTTCTGACGGTAACTGGTAGCAGGAACACTTTTATAAAAGATGCTTTCCTTTCGTTGCACCTATGACTCCATCAAGTTCACGTTCTTAAGATCGTTTTATAATATAATTGTCAAAAACTTAAACAAAAATGACTAATGGCGAAGACACAACGCCGTATATATTTTTTCTATGACACCGCCAACTTCTCTCCTTGCTAATTGTCGTCTTGCAGTTTTGAAAACTGACACTAGGTGGATAAGTCCCCTTTCACAATAAATTTATTTTAGAGTGAATATATAAGTTTACAATTATCTGAGAGTGATTTCCTGCATTTATGTGTTTTTTATTTGATATTACATATTATATTATTTTATTTATTAACATGTGCGACCTAAAGGCATTCAACGCCCTCTCATGACGAGAAGGCTTTCTAAGTGTAACAGATTGGAACTTATGTCATTAAAAATGTGACATTGGGAACGCACGAAAGTGGCGCTAGAGGTTCAAAATTTTAATTTCTTATATAATTTAAATTCAAGGTGTTGGGAACTTTTCCCAACAATATTTCATTCTGGACTGATATAGTATGAGACTTGCATGACAACACCGATATTCTCAACGAAGGAAACCAAACGTAAGAGCTTTTGAAAAATATAGGAATCCTTTTATTCGCAATGGGGCAGTTACATATTAAAAAATGGTAAAACCAAAATTGTTATAAGTGAAAAAAAGAAATTGATGTACTTTTTCCTGCTAACAAAGGTTTTGACAAAAAATGACCATTGTCATTTATAAATAAGGAATTTCACAAGATTGGAGAAAGAAAACAACAAAACTTCACAAGCTATCCAGAAACACTCACAAAAAGGGACACAATGATAACAACAATACCATACCTTACAAGAAAATTTTAAAATAATAGGAGGTAAGTACAACATCACTGTCTAAAACCAAACCCAAAAACATAAAAGAAAGATCAATGAAACTGTAAAATACCCTGTGAATGTAACCATTTATATGTGGGAGAAATCGCAAGACCACCAAGTGTCAGGATAAACGAGCACTAAACATACATTAACTTTAGAGACTTCGATAAATCTCAGATATACAAACATGTCTGGGACAACGAGCACAATACAATGGAAATATGCATCAATAATCATGAAAGACATAAAAAAGGCAAAGTGAAAGAAGCAACTCTGATCTTACTTAATGAGGAAAAATGTAGAGCATACTCATCATCAGAACGTAGCAGGCATTGGTTGCCAATACTGAAAGAATAAGTCAAGAACAAGAGTACATATATATGCAACACGAAATGCACAAACATACAATTTGATTAAGCACACATTAAACAAATAAAACAATCAAAAAAACACACAAAACAGTCAGAATTTGATATTCCGAGACTAAAAACACCACCCTCTAATTTTTTTTTTCAACCAACCAAGACATTTGGCAGAATTTTTTAAAATAACCTTATCTTCAAAAGGGTTTCCGGAGTTAAAATCGAAACGTCAAACATTGAAATTGAAAACATTAGTTAATTGATGAATTCGTCCGTTACTTGATGAAAATTCATTTTATGTAACAACAAAACACTGAAAATTTTGTTTTCAAAACCTCCACAAAATGTATTATAAAATCTCATCACTACAGCTGTTTCGGCAGAGTTCCTTTCTCAAGTGATCTATTTCTGGCATGCGTTTACACTTTGTAGTCTTTAATGAAGTAGGTTGAGGAGGGGAGAACTGTTTGTCTGAAGTTGGTCATTCAGAATTATATCTGTGTTTTTTAATTTGTTAATTTTCATAGATTCTAACAAAGATTGAATGTGAAGAATTTGAAATTCGTCATTAAAAGAATGATTATGATCTAAAAGGTGAAGTGCGTATGTAGAATCTGTTTTTCTATTATTGAAAGCCCTTTTATGTTCTGCTATTCGTTTATTAAAATTTCTACCAGTTTAACCGATGTAAGTTTTTGGGACGTCGCCACATTTAAGTTTGTATACACCACTGTGTAAGTGCTTTTTATTTTGGCTCTTGTATTTAATATATTTGCCAAAGTTGTCTGTTCTGAAAGCTGGTGTTACTCCTTTCTTTTTTATGTGTTTGGCTATTTTTGTTTTGCCTTATATGTAATCGAACAGAAGGTACAGGTTTTTCTCTGGTGGTGCCAATACTAATTTCAGGGCTTTCTTGTGTAGTTTTTGATTTAAAATTGTATTAATTGTTTGTTCGTTGTATCCATTGTTTAATGCTATTTGCTTAATGATATTTACGTTTCTGTATTTTGTATTATATGTATTTTTGTTTGAAACGGTACACAAAGATCCGATAGAAAAATTTTAAAAACAAATTAAACTAGCGTAAGAAAATTCAAAATCAATAGTAAAGCCAACAGAACAGAAATACCTCAATATCATGAACTCAAAGCCTCCTAAATTACACTCTTTTATTAAACTACACAAACCGGATCACCCAATTAGACCTGTAGTTTCTTTTGATATAGTTTCGTCACATAAACTTAAAAAAAACTGTTAAAGATTATTTTAGAACACACTAAACTTTCACCTAAATTTACCATAAAAAATACAATAGAACTAGTTAATAAAATACAACATTTTTAATTACCTAACAACTCCAGATTAATTTCATTTGACGTAAAAAATCTTTTTCCTAGTATTCCTCCTACAGAAACTTTTATTCTAGTAAAAAATCTTTTAGACCAAAATATTACAAATCCAATCATTACATCTGAAATTTTACATCTTCTTGAACAGGATTACTTTGAATTTAATAATCAAACATATACAAATACCAGTGCAGGACTTGTAATGGGCAATCATCTAAGCCCATTGCTCTCAGATATTTTTATGGATCATCTAGAGGCAAAGATTTCAAAACATCCCATATTCGCGTTAGTCAATTCCGACAGGGGCCGCTGAAGATTTTAAAGATGGACGATAACTTCGGGAAAACAAATCATTTTGTCATTTGATCTCTAAGGTATAAAACTTTTAATATAAATCATTTACACGTGTGTTTTGCCAAAGTAAAAGTTGGAGTACGTTCTTCAAAGTTTATTTGTTTGTGATTCGAGTTTATACATAAGGTAATTGACTCCCAAACCTGAATAAAAATAAAATTAAATGTTTGTTTTTCTACAGCATGTCTGAAACATGGGAAGTAAAATTTACATTATCTTAATTATTTATATGGCTGCAAGATCGACAGAGATCTTTAGTTGAGGGTGAGGCAGTTTTTGGAGCTGGCCATGTTATATTTTGTAAATTACGCCTTATGTTTTCTACTAATAACTTCATGAGACTGTTGGGGTAATTTAGGTGATGGAACAGCATTTTTCTTCAGTTTTCTTAATTTAGTTTCAGGTGTTACTATAAAGTAAATTAAGTATAAGTATATTAAAATATAAATAATATTTTAATCAACATTGGGAAAGTTATATTCTTTGGTTATATGTTTGCCAATTTACAAAATGCATTGCCAAACTTTTCTCATATTCTTGTCAAGCGGAAACTTATGTATGGAATTTTTTTGTGAATTATAATAGGATGAACATTGAGGAACGCTGCAATAGTTTTTTGAAGTCGAATTCATTGTATATTACAATATAAACCGGTCGCTAATATGTATACAAAATAATGACAATTTCAATGTTTTCCCGAAGTGGATGCTTTTGAAACCTGCCACCAGGCGTCGCCCACTTTGCGGTTCCTCGCCAATTCAAACAGTTTTTATATTGGTGGAGATACGTAAACGACGCGACGTATTGGTATGTTTCACAGGAACTAACAGGCAACTTGACCAATTTATATCGTATATTAATTCATTTCATAGTCATATTGAATTTACAATAGAAACAGAACAAAATTAATCCATAATTTTTTTACATTTAAAAATTATCAGACTTAAAAACAAACATGACTTCTCCATATTTGATAAACCTACCAATACTGACACGACTATACACAATTCATCATCCCACCCCACACAACATAAACTGGCAGACTATCATAGTAGAGACAGAATTAAATATCATTAAGCAAATAGCAGTAAAGAATGGATACAACGAACAAACAATTAATAAAATTTTAAATCAAAAACTACACAAAAAAGCCCAGAAATTAGTATTTCTACCACCAGAGAAAAAAAACCAGTACCTTCTGCTCGATTACATATCATCATCATCATCATCAACTAGCTTCTAACGTCCACTGCTGAACATAGGCCTCTCGCATGCTTTTCCACTTCCACTGATTTTGTGCCATCTGAATCCAATTTGTAGTCACTCTTTTTATGCCATCCGTCCATCTCGTTGGGGGTCGACCTCTATTTCTGTAAGCTTGTATTCGGGGTCTCCATTCCAAAATTCTTTTTGTCCACCGGTCATCAACTGATCTTGCCACAAGACCTGCCCAGTCGATTACATATAGGGGCAAAATATCAACAAAAATAGCCAAACACATAAAAAAGAAAGGAGTAACACCAGCTTTCAGAACAAAGAACAACTTGAGCAAATATATTAAAAACAACAAGAGCCAAAATAAAAAGCACTTACACAGTGGTGTATACTAACTTAAATGTGGCCACTGCCCAAAAACTTACATCGGTCAAACTGTGTCAAACTGGTAGAAATTTTAATAAACGAATAGCAGAACATAAAAGGGCTTTCAATAACAGAAAAACAGATTCTACATATGCACTTCACCTTCTAGATCAGAATCATTCTTTTAATGACGAATTTCAAATTCTTTACATTCAAAATAAAAGTCTTAAGATATCTTTGTTAGAATCTATGAAAATTAACAAATTAACAAACACAGATATAATTTTGAATGACCAACTTGAGACAACAGTTCTCCCCTCCTCAGCCTATTTGATTAAAGACTATAAAGTGTAAACGCATGCCAAAAATAGATCACTTGAGAAAGGCACTCTGTCGAAACAGATGTGTTGATTAGATTTTATAATAAATTTTGTAAAAGTTTTGAAAACAAAGTTTTCAGTGTTTTATTGTTGCATAAAATATTACTTAAAAATAAAATTATTATAAGCAATTGTGGCTTAATACTATATAAACATAATATTTAACATAGACATGCCACAACAAAACAGTTTCAGAAGTTTTTATTCAGTTTCCTCCCAGTAAACTTAATATTTCAACACCTACCTTATTGAGGCCGAGTGCTTTTTCAGTCTTTTTGCAATTTGTATTGCCTATGTAATTTCACTTTCTGTTATAGATGGATGGTTAAGTTATAGATGACGTTAAGGCAATTATTTTATAGTATTCTACTACTTTGTCTTCAAATAATTTAGAAAGGTAGTTTTTCCAAACTTTTATTTATTCGTTGTTGCTGTTGCCAGCGATCTATTTCAATTTCTTCTATAGGTGAAAGGTATCTGGGTTCCTTTCATAATTTTCAATTCTATTAACATGCTTTTCTATGCAATTGTGTTTTCTCGTATATTATATTCTGTCTGATTATTGTTTGGATTCTCTTGCATTCGTTTTTGCTTTATTTGTGACTTCTCTTCTTTGGTTCAAGAGGTTCAGTTTTTTATCTGTCATCCACCCTTATTTTTACTTCTTCAATCTTGTTTAATAAACATTCATTAATACATTTTTCATTATCTTCAAGTTTTCTTCAATACCTTCCCCTTTGCAAGGTGTCTTAATGTTTTACATTATAAAATCGACCATATATCGACGAAATCGACAATAAAAAATCAATTAAAATCGACAATTTTTGCACTTTTAGGTAACAAACAACCCCTAAAAGCAGGCCTGGAACCGATCTACATAAAAATCCCACCGTTTGGCAAGACGCCCACATATCTAAAGCGATTCATAGACCAAAAAGAAAAAGAATACCAGATGAAGAAAGACGCCAGCGGAGTAGAACAGCCTTTATGCAAATACATAACGAGAGATCAAAGAGAGGCATTACTGAGCGTAAGTAGTTTAAGCTATTACTAAGTGGTCTAAAAATAAAACGCTTCCTACATGCACAAGATTAGTTTACACCGTTTTAAAATTTACTATCAGGAAACAGGAAATTTTGGTAACAAATATTAAGCACGTGAACCGTGTAGGTTAGCCACTTATCTTATTTAATTGTATTAAGGCTGTTTTATCGGTGCACCAAAATTTTTTCTCTGTTATTTACCGACGAAATGTCTCGAAATTTGGACATGTTATACGAAATTATGTTGCCTTTAAACTGATGGTTTTACTTTTTTTATTTTTTTGAATTTTCCGTTGAAAAATTGGATTATACTGTTTAACGTTCTATTATAACCAAACTTTTCACGCCCATCAGTTGAAAGAGTTTTTTTTTCTGTAATCGTTGATTCTTTTTTCACCTTTCTGTGTCCAGTAATAATCGAGAAAAGCGTATTCAAACTTTGAAGAAAATTGCTAAAAAATACTGAAATCTAATAGTGAAACGTGTTCCTCATCATTGTCGCTGAGCTTGATCGATAGTGACGTCATATCTCATGAACGTACGGTACGGTCTTATTTTTATTTTCTATGGGTACGGTCAGTTAGTTCGCTTGAATTAATCCATTTTAGTTCTTTCATTCTTGTATTTTCTTTATCAACTTGCTTAGTTTTTACAGTTTACAGTATTCTTATTTATTTTGAAAACATTGAAATTATTTAGTTTACGCGTATGTTAAGTAATATATTATTAGTTTAGTGGTATAAGTTAAAAGTTCTTTAGTTTACGCGTATTTTTAAGTATTACATTAGGTTAGTGATATAAGTTATAAGAGACAAGATAAAAAATGAGTCCCAGTAAACGTCCTATGTCAAGGAAAACGAGAGCAATTGCACTGCAGTAAGTATTTATTATTTATATTACAACCGTTTTTAAAAGCTTTTATTTAACTTTATATATATATATATATATATATATATATATATATATATATATATATATATATATATATATAATATATATATATATATATATAATATATATACATATATATACATATATATATATATATATATATATATATATATATATATATATATATATATATATATATATATATATCTGACATTCGAAATGTCAGTTTTTTGTATGTGTCAACAAATAATCTTTAATAAATAGTTTGGAGATATCCTTATGTGTACAATTATTGTAATTATTGAACCTCTTAACTTATTTTCGTCTAGTAATTTCATTACAGAATGCATACAAATCCCATTTAACTTTAACAAGAATTCAAATTCTACTCTCCAATGACAGCATGCGCGAACACGACCGATTTTGTGATACGGGAAGAGCCTATCTTGTTATTCATAGTATCATGGTTCAATCCATCAAGAATTAGCAGAAACATCTACTTTACCTAGTTGTAGTGTCGATTCGTAAGTAACCCTTTTTACTTTTTTTTTATTTACTTACCGTAAAGTAAGTAAATAGAGGGTTCATGACCTTACATATTATTTGTTTATGGTCAAAATATTACCAATGTTTTACTCTTAAATAATAATAATAACAAATAATATCATTTGCAGAAAATACTTTAAGTTTTATCGTTATTTCTAGTAATAGCTGTCATTCTCAGTCAGTTGAGATTGCCTCTCCGCAAAAACCATCTTTTTCGGTAGAAGACAGAAGAATAGTGGACATAAACTTTTTCATTAAATCTATTCAAGGTTTGAATAATCATTCTCCATTTTCATGCAACTTTTCTAATATGGAGATTATCAAAGAAAAAATGGACGGATTGATAAGTACATTGACTTTTAAATGTTAAATGAGGAATATTGAAAAGGAGATAGCAACATAGGATTCTGGTAACAATTCACTGAACTTGAATGGTTCTGGTTATTCAGACATACAGCAGCAGCACGCTGCATTAAATATACCTGTGATGTCCTACAAACAGTATGCAAAACATACGGAAATAGTTGCAGATATCATCAGCCAAACACTTTGTGATTCCTTAGAAGAGGCTGGACGGGAGGAATTAGCTTTAGCCAAAGAAATTGGTGAAGTAGATTCCGACGGAAATGGGTTAATAACCGTTATAGCTGATGGTGCTTGGTCAAAAAGATCGTATAAAGTAAACTATGATGCTTCTTCAGGTGTAGTACCTGACGTTGTAAAATTTATTAAATTAGTACGCCTTTGATGGATAGGACATGTAATTAGGCGAGATGAAGATGAAACGATCAGAAAAATTTTCGACCGAAGAGGACCAGTGGGAAAACGATCCAGAGGAAGACCAAAACTTAGGTATCAAGATAACATAGAGGATGATCTAAAATCCATCGGAGTTAAAGCATGGAGAAAGTTGCCAGAGGCAGGGGCGAATGGAAGATTGTTCTGAAGAAGCCTTTGGCTCATGACGAGCTGTAATGCCACTGATGATGATGAAATAACTATCCACGATTTGTATTTTATTCATCAATTGGATACTTTTCTTATGTAACTGCAACCTATAAATATATTAAAATAATGTATATTCCATTCAGAGAACTTTTTCCTCGCAGTGCGTCGCCTCGAAATACTTGCCAAATAAATACATTTACTATTATGATGGTTTCGCAGGTACCAATTTTTTATAGATAAATAAAAATATTTTTTGTTTAATTTTTACTACGCTAATATCAGTTTTCTCTAACAAATAAATAATTTATTGAAATAATTTTCAAGCTATAACTGCGAAATTGTTTATTTGTTTGTGACAACAAATTGTAATTTTTTTGATAATAATATTCGTATGTTCTTTTAAATTTATTATAAATAAACACCATGGTGTTTTTTGCAGTCACGTTTCACAAATTTTTATTTAATACTATGTTTAGCTAAGACATATAAATTAAAAATGTGATTAATTCTTTTTAAAACATTATCGACGATAATTAATAAAAAAAAAAGTATTCCGACAAAACTAATTTGAATGGAGAATAATGCATTTATTATCATTAAACAACCCGTCGGCCGGCGCCACTGAATAAACATCCAAACTTTTAAATTCGGTACGGCACGTACGGTCTGACATAAGCAAGTACATATTAGAAAAGTAAGTGATACGCCCACTTCAAATCGCAGTATGCTATAACTGCGAAAACAGCCTTAATATTTTCTTAATTTTATTTTAGTATGTCCAGTAATAGTATTTTTTCGGAAAAAAACATTATATACGACAATTATATAAAGTTTTAGGTGTACGATGGGATCATTGTCCTCATTATTCTAAAGTTTCTTTTTTAATAATAGTCTAGTCTTCAGAGATTTGACTTCAAAAAATGAGACGAACATGATTAATTTTGCTGCAAATGCTAAGTTTGGGATCCCAAACAAGACGCAAAAAAAGTTTGCCACTTCTACCCCCGGGCTTCGCCCATAAAAACCCCTCGTGGGGGAGAAAAACGGAAAACATAGATTTACCAAGAATCTGTACTACGCAAAAAAAATGTTTATGATCGGCGATATTAAATGTCAGTTCATCATCAGTGGCATTACAGCTCGTCATAAGCCAAAGCATTCTTCAAAACAATCTTCCATTCGCCTCTGTCTCTGGGAACTCTTCTCCATGCTTTAACTCCGATGTATTTTAGATCATCCTCTATGTTATCTTGATACCTAAGTTTTGGTCTTCCTCTGGATCGTCTTCGGTCGAAAATTTTTCTGATCGTTGCATCTTCATCTCGCCTAATTACATGTCCTATCCATAAAAGGGTTGCTAATTTAATACATTTTACAACGTCAGGTTCCCCAAAACTTCTGTATAACTCAAAGTTGTAACACCTACCCCACAAACCCTGTTCTTGACTCCTACATATATTTTCCTTAGAATTGTTCTCTCAAAACGTTTAAGTAGTTCTTGGTCGTTCTGTGTAAGTGACCACGTTTCTGACCCGTATGTTAACACTGGCCTTATTAGTGTTTTATATATGGTAATTTAAATTTTTCTGGGTAATTTTGGGCCACCTGTTTCCTCAAGCCATAATAGCACTTATTGGCAAGCACTATTCTTCTTTTAATTTCTTCGTTGACATTGTTGTTTTTGGTCAGCAGCTAGGTCGTCCACACCTTCCAGATCCAGATCATCAATTAATAGTTTAGTTATCTAGTTGCCTGATCTAGTACAATACATATACTTGGTTTTCTGTGCGTTTATTTTTAATCCCATTCTCAGGGCAGACTTCCTTAATGATCGAAATGCTTCGATCAGTGATTCTGTGGACTTAGCAATAATGTCTATGTCGTCTGCATATCCGACCACTTGCACAGATTTATTAAAGATGGTACCATTCGTATTAATGTGGCACTCTCGAATTACTTTTTCTAGTGCAAGGTTATATAAGAGACACGACAGTCCATCTCCCTGTCTCAGTCCATTTTTACAATGGAAGGGTATTGAAAAGTCGTTTTGGATTCTGACTACCCTCTAAACCTGTGAGTGTAAGTTCCGTTAGTTGAACAAGATGAAGCGGCATTTGAAATTCCACGATAGCCTGTAGAAGTTTTTGTCTGTTGACTTAGTCGTGTGCGGCTTTGAAATCCACGAATATGTGGTGGGTGTCGACTCCGAATTGACTAAATTGAATGTCAGTTACGCGCGCGAAATAAATTTTTTAAATAAAAGTTGTATCAACTCGATGGTAAAAAAATCGATATCTATTGATTAGAGAGTCCTATCAGCAAAGGTCAAAATGCATTTTAAAAACGATTGCAACGTTTGTTGACTCGTGGTTTTGTTTCGACCGCGTGTGAAAGCAGACGTGTCCGTGGATTTTAGAAAAATGGAAAAAGAGCAATATTGGTCGGTGATTAGAATCTTGTTTTTGCAAACGAAATCAAAAGACGCTTGGATTTTGTGTACGGTGACTCTTCTTCTTCGATGGCAACCCCCAAAAATTGGTTTAACGAGTTTCAACGTAGTCGCATGTCGATTTTTAATGAGCCACGTCCAAATGCTCCGAAT